TTAACTTTTTACAAAACAAAATTTACCTTATAGACTAACAAGTTTATGGAATGTGGGTGCCACCGTATTAAAGTTTATGGGATGTGAATATCATCTATTAAAAACTTACGAGATTTTAAAATTTTAATATCTATTTTAGAATTCTCTCTCTACAGGAGATAATGTAGGTATTATTTAAAACAACTTTGCCAACAATAATTTAAATTTCTCTTAGAAACTATTTAATATTTTATACTCAATTTATTTTGAAATTTATTAATGACGACCGGGCTCCTTTTCATACGATGATGCAAGTCATTAAATATTACGTTTTAAATCACATGTAGTGTCATTGAATATTATCATTAGTTATAAATAGTATTTTTATTATTTTGGTAATTATATCAATTCTACATTCATCCCGTAACTAATGAAAGTTAATTTGTATTTATCTTTTTTCCGCTTAATAGAATGTTAGCATATCAATCTATGTGCTCTATATGGATACATATTTGACTATGGAAATATATATATTCTTTTAAAAATCCGTTCACACTGTTTAGTACAATTTTAACAGTTTCTGCTGATTTTTAATTAATAATATTACAAAATTGTTGATATTTTTATGTTTATTATATTATACATTTCAATTTAATTTTCCATGTTATTAATACTAAACTTTTTAGTTTTTAATAATATTTTTTTTGAATAAAGATAAAAAGAGCCTTTATTTTGAATAAATTCAAAATCGAAAAAGAGCGGGACCTTACCGGCGCAGCCGCTGTTTGATGAGTGAAGAGACGCTCTTTGATTTGCTTTCTGAAGAACTCACACTCGCCCAGCGTCAGGTAAAACTCTTAACCTAATCTACCCTTAATTGCACCTTCGTTTTTCATTTATTGTTACGTTTTAAAAATACGATTTTTCAATCAGATCCGCTAAAGTCGCCATTGTTCAACCTTTGTTTGATTTTGATCTGTGTATTGTAGGGCTTAATGCATGCTTGAATCCAATTAACACTGTATGCGTGTGTTGTGTACTTTATTATATTATCAGTGAGTTAAAATCTGTGTTGGAAGGGAGATAAAGGGATGGAAAATGTGTACGCCGAGTTGGATGATGCCAGAGCGGAGGTGGAGAAGCTCAAGGCTGAATGTCGACTCAAAGGTCAACTCTTTGAGGGTCTGAAGCAAGATCGTGCCCAAGAATTTCTCAAATTTCAGGAATCCAGGAAGCGGGTCGAGGAACAGGCGCGCGAGCTTGATCTCAAGTCTGAGGAGATCCATGAGCTGAAGAAAGTTCTAGAAGAATTGAACTCTAGTTTGCATGAAAAGGAAGCACACGTTGCGCGTTTGAGTTCGGAGAATAAAAGGATCCAAGCAAGTTCTGCTGATAGGTTGGTCAAATTGGAGGAGAGTAATAGATCGCTGGTGTTGGCTTTAGATGAATTAAGAGTAAGAAATGAGTCTCTGGAGCAGAATGCCTGTGCCAATAGTAAGGAAATTTTGAGTCTTAGGGCATTCTTGTTGGCCGCGGAGAAGAAGTGTTCCGAATCAGAGGAAAAAGTGCAGCATGGTGCAATGCTGAAAGGGAGAGATGGTGTGATACTGCAATTGGAGGAAGAGAATATAAGAATGCAAGATAAGATTAAATGGAGGAATGAACAGTTTAAGCATCTTGAGGAAGCTCACGAAAAGCTTCAAGTTGAGTTCCGATTGTGCAAGGAGGAGTGGGAGAAGGAGAGATCTGCGTTGCTCGAGGAAATGTCTTCCTTGCAGGTTAGGTTGGATTCTCAGACAAGAAATGTGGAGGGGTTGCAATCCCGTTTGGAGATGTGTAACCATGCATTGGCTCATGAAGAGAGCAAGAGAAAACTCCTGGAGGCTGAAATATCCGAGTTTAAGACTAGTTTTGAGAATTTTTATACTCAGTGTGAGGAGAAGAACTCAGAGATTCAACAATCAACCATTTTAAGGAATGACGAGATAGCACAGCTGAGAAACTCATTAGGGGAGAAAGAGATGGTGGTGAGAGAACTGGATCATAAAATTGTTCAACTTGAACATGATAATAAGGAATTGGGAGATTTACTTAAAGAACTCAGGGAAGCTCAGATCAATAATGGTGGCGCAAATTCTGTGACATCAAAGCTCCGTAACAAGCTTAGACGGTTGGAAGATGTGCATAAAAGCTGTGCGTCAATTCTCAAGTCTAAAGAATCTCAATGGAGTGATCAATTGACAAAGATGGAAGCAGATATTGTTACATATAAGTCTGTACTGACCAATAAAGAACAGGAAATACGGAAGCTTCAGATGGAATTGGAAAATTGCTATTGTACCGTCGAAGAGAATCATATGGGACTTTTGATCTTTAAATCAGAACTTGTTGAGGCTTACTCCAAATCATTCAGTGCAGACTCTGAGAAAGCAACATTTGGTGTCAAAGGGAATGAAAATAGGATTCTAATTTCTACAGAGCAATTGAAACTGGAAGAAAATTCTCCGAAAAGTATGGCACTACAACCTTCTCGGCTGGTGGAAGAGCTTGAACAATACAAGAAAAAGCTTGAGGAATCATCTGAGGGTGAGCTCATGTTGTTAGAGCAACTAATGCAGATGGAATATACACTACATTATGAAAGAAGTGCTGCTTTTGAGGCTCTGGAAAAGCTGGAACTTGAAATAACCTGTAAAAATGATGAAATATCTCGATTAGATTATGAGGTACAGGATAGGGAGTCTGCGACTGCAACCCTTAAAGTTTCCTATGAAGAAATTCAGGGAACTATTAAAGAGATGGAAATTTCCCTGGAATCAAAAATGAAGAATGAACAAGCCCTTAAGCAGGCCAATGAAAACCTTCTCTGTATTGTCAAGGATCAGGAGAGAAAAACTGAAGACCTTCTACTGCAGATTGGTTTATTGGAAAGTTGCAATGCAATGAAAACGAAGGAAGTGGAAAGTTGCAATACAGAGAAAATGAAGGAAGTGGAAAGATGCAATCAGGAGAAAAAGGGTCTTATCCAAATTGTAGAGGATAAGGAATGTTGCATAAAGGATCTACAGAAAGAAATAGACGTCGCCTACTTGAAACAAGAATCCACGGAAAACAGATTAAAAGTTGCAATTCATGCACAGCTGGAAGCAGAGCAAACCCTCAAACAGGAAAAAGAGATTTTTTTGAAGATTAAAGACGAGAAGGAACGAACTATAGAGCACTTTCAGGAGCTAGCTACGACATCAGAGCAAGATTTGTTAGATGCGCTCTCTGTTTCGTTCTCAAAACAAGTGGAAAACTGGGTTGAGGTCAGTTTGCTCAGGGATGCCTTAAAAAATGCAGAATATCTGGCAATGTTAGAAATTGAAGAAAAGAACATCCGAATAGTGAAATTAGAAGAAGCATTTTTCCATTTAAAACAAGAAGCTGAGCAGCTTCGAGCATTAATGGATGCCAGGAAGTTTGAAAATGAAAAGTTGATGGATAAACAGCAGACCATGGAATGCGTAATAGCAGAGCTGAAGCTTGAGAACGGAAATTTGCTCCAAGAGATCATGAACTTATCAACAAATAGGGAAGATATGTTAGCACATTTCGAAGACATCTTTGGCAAAATTGGTGAGTTTTCTTGTCGGGATGCGCAATTAGTGGAGATGCTGGGCAATTTGTTGAATACTTCTGAAGATGAAAATGAAACAGCAATGGGTTCAGTAGTTTGTGATAAGTCACACGAGTCTGCTAGAGATGGTACCAATGGTCTTCATATTACTCCCACAACCAAAAAACCTGAAGAAATTTTTGATGGACGATCGCCATTGAGAGAGGTTAATAGCCTGCATATGTAGACCGGAAGAAGATTCTGTGATCTTGCTGACAAAAAAGCCAAAAAGGTATTCAATTTCAGAAATATTTTCCTCTTCGCATTGGCATGTTTAGTTCTTTATGACATTAAATGCACATGCATGCAAGTTGCCCCCCGAAACTATCTATAGAGAAGATGTAAGATAAGTTGAAAATGGTGGCAATTTGGCTGCAGGCATTTTGAGCAGGATTAACTATATTTGCCATGTGAATTCTTGAGCCAGCAAAAAGTTCCCCATTATTGATCATGGAAAAAGTTGGTGCTATTTTGTTTAGTAAGTCCATAGCTAATAGCTAAAGAATGATATTTTAAGGTTTAATTACATTTTCAGTTTTCTTAGTTTTGGTTCAAGTTTTTGTTGTTAAATGAAAAAGTTAATTTACTCCTTTCGTCACTAGTTTTGCAGCTAAAACACCAAAACTTTTAATTTTTTATTGAAATAATTGTGGGTTCTGTGGTAAATTTAGAAGACGAAACAAGTTAAAGATTTAGAAATTGGAAATGTAGTGAAAATTTGAAGAAAAATAAAGGATTTAAAGAGAGAAGAATTAGAATTATTTTATCTTGGTAAAATTTGATATTATAGTCAGTGAATTCGAAATTTCAAAACAATAAACGGCCAAGACGAATTCAATTAGCTTGAGAACCAAAGTTGCATGCCAAACAAACTATAAGGAATAGAAATGTAATGAAGCCATGTTCAATTGGGTGTTATTTTGTACTTCTCCATTGACAAATAATCTGAAAACTTCTGTGGAACGGTGCAGGTATTTGCCGTTTACCCGTTTCACTAGCAAGTATGGACTTCAAACATCTTACACATGGCATTAGCAGCATATATAGAGGAGCGGAAGATAAAACGCGACATCAGTCTGTATTCTGATGTTTTCAGAAAATTGCCACACGTTTCTTTATGAGAGGTTCGGAACAAGTGAGTGGTCAGAAGAACTATTTAACAGTGTTGGCAATATTCATTCCAATTCTTTGGCCATACGGTCAAGACTATTTAATTTATTGTATTCTTTGTTAAATTATGCGCAATTGCATTCACTGTTTTTAGATGAATTTAATAGTACCAAACATGCGTAGTATTTAGTGCTCAGAGTCTCTACTTTTTTAAATCCATGGCGAGAAGATAAGAAAGGCTAGAAAAGGCGAATTCTGCAAACTGGAATTTCATCTAACCAAAATTTCGGCTAAGTGGCTACAATACAATACTTACAAATTCATAATTCGTTTCTGAATGAAATCCACAGAATTCCCATTCAATACTATACAAAGCTGTTGAAAATACCAGGTTTTCCCATGACATATACGAGTCCATGTCAATGATGCTAAGATCTGCATACAATTTTCCAACTAAAAATCTCAGTTTGCTTCATTTTATTTGAAGGGCAACTATTGGTACACAATAGTGTGCTGTTCTGAGTAAAAATCCTGAGAGAGAAAACTCAATGGGATGTAAAAAATCATGCAGCAGGGTTGGAAGTATCTGGCTTGTTAGAGTACTTGGAAAGCCATTTCTGCTTGTTCTTCTGTGAAGCGTTCCAGTTTCGAGAGAATTGAATAAGACCTTCCCTTAACGACCCAAGATTTACCCCATCTCCAACCAAAATGCTAGTCACTCCCATTTTAGAGACCTAAGGCAATAATATACGATGACGACGACGAAATGAATTTAAAAGAAAACGTGAGAGTTTATATTATTACCGATTGGATGTTCCTATTCTCATCATCGAAAAAGAGCATAGAGTTGAAGGGGACAGCGGTCCTCGAATGAATCCTCTGAAAATGATCTGTTTTATGTGTCTAGCTAGAATATATTTCCTGAACAAACCAAAGTTCACAAGAGAAATAAAAACCTAATACATGCGGCGTTAAATTTCAATTGAAAAAGCAAGATAAGCACAAGAATTCACCTGTGCGACGAAGAGTGAGGAGAGGCCCAATTTGTTGAGGAAAGCTGTTGCTATGTCAGCGGTTGGTGAGCGAGAAGCGATTGCAACGTCGATGCCTTTCTCTTTGAGCGCTAACAATATGCCTTTGGCGTGAGGATAGAGAGAGGGCATTTCACGCTTCGATCGACACTCACTGAATTTTCAACAAGATTGATTTCATATATTAGAGAGTAAAAATGAAATTAGGTTAAGGAAAAGAGGGTAGGAAGTAGGAATGAACCAGTAGAAAGGCCAGAGAGTGTAATCGAGATCGAAAACCACGAGCTTTGGCAGAACCTCAAAGGCTTCGATTATCTGCAGCGCCTCACCCTTCACCTTCTCCGTGTTCTCCTCCATCTCTCTCTCTCTCTCTCTCTCTCTCTCTGCGTGGACGGATGAAGGATTATGCGAAAATCAAACTAGATTAATTTTTATCAAGACTATTATTATATTGATCCAACTTAAATATTAAATCACCGTATTTAATAGTTAAAATCAATTTCAGTTATCTGATTTAAATTTGAAAATCAAGGTCTCAATTTATTAAATATAAATTATTTTCTAAATTTAGTATAAATGATTTGTTCACTTTATATAAATAATTTATTAAAAATATTCCATTTTGCGAATTTTAATAAATAGCAATATTTTAATAATTTTAAATTATAAAATAGTGTAAATAAAACGTTGAAATAAATTCAAAAACTACAGCGATACGTTAAAGCAATGTGGGAAACATTTAAAAAGTAGAATATCTATGAACTGTTTTAAGATCCCTTAAAACATTTAGTATACTTTACAAAAGGACCAACTTTGAGTATCTTTGTCTAAATTAAAACAGTCCCACCAAAATTATGACAAAAAAATGGTGTTGAGCATTTTTATAGTGTAAGGGTGAGGCGAAAGTATTTTGCAGATTACTTCACCGTTTGGGGACCAGCGTAGTTCTTGTAATCTATTTCTCTCTTACGTCATTTCAAATATTTAATATTGTTTAATGTGGCTATAACACACAAGCTCCTTTTAGCATGCTTCTGGTGAGCATGCGCCTTGGAGCACCATCTTGGTTCATAAGCTTTGGCCTTTTGGCATCTGGTTCATATTCACGGAATGAGGAAGGAGACTCAACAATACTTATATCAGCATCATGCTCATCGTCTGCCCCCAGAGAATCCGGAACAACGTATGCATTCATAAGAATTGGCTTTTTGGCATCTTCTCCATCAGATTCAAATGTCACTGCCTGTTCCTTGTTAACTTTCGTATCCTCTTCAAGACTCCTCTTCTGAGTAAAATCAAGTATTTGATGGGTTGTTAATGAATTCATATATTCAAGGAATGAGGAGTGACTTAAGAAACTCACATCAGCATCATTTGGCGCTGGAGAATCCGGAACAACATAGTCCGTAAGCTCCTCACCAGAGGTCGATGGATACTCAACTATTGTCTTGTCTTCAATTTTTGACTCGTCATTTTTCTTAAGAAGCTGGTCTTCATGAGTACTTGTATTCATTGGGAACGAGGATAATCTAGTACATGTTCTTGACAGAGAATGGTCATCAACAGCTTTCATAAAATTTACAGAAAGCCCATGCTGCGATGATTCTGATGCTCCGTGATCTTTTCTGACATATGATGTGGATGGAAAATCACATACCAATTGGGATTTCTCCCTCTCTACTGATACAGCAGTTTCCTCACTACATTCATCAATTTCCTGTATTATGGCATGAAAAGTGAAATACTTCAGTTGGTATAGCAACATTTTCATATTCTAAGCAGATACTGGGTGGCCATTTTATTTCTGCACTTAACAAATTTAGATAATGAAAATGAGAAAAAAAGAGGGGGCAGTTAAAAGCATATACATAGAAAGTTAAAATCCGAATTATTCAATTCGTTTACTTTTAACGGTGACAAGAAGCCCCTCTTGTGACATGCCGACATCTGCAGACAATCAGAACGTGAAATTACTCGCCAGTCCTTGGAAACAAGTGCATGTCCTCCCATACACGGTGAAACTCTTCCGGGTGAAGCCGTTGGATACTGAATATCAGCAGTCTCTAGTTCAGTAGAGGAATTTAAAGGATCTTTTACACACCACAAATCTGAATAGCTGCAACCCGTAAGGGAATCTTCTTCCACTTTCGTCTGGACAACAATGGCAGGGTCTTCAGAAGGAAGACCTTTGTCAAGGCAATCGGTAGGACGTGCTTGCAAAGAATTATTTTCAAATATATCATAAATTAGGTTCTGTATGTGAGATCGTTTCAGAGAAGCCTCTGGTGGAGGGAACCAATTACTGCTCAACTGGAAATTATGAGAAGAAATTTAACTGTGACTCAAACTGCTGTATAACATGAAAAAGGAATCATGTGGTCATCCCACACAGACGATGAAGACGTTTTAATAAATGCAGGTGCCAATTAAAACAGATGCATGTAAGAATAACAGCAATTAAGAAATACTATTCATCTAAATAACCAAATCAATATACTAATGTTTAAATTCACAACAACGAAACACACATTTGACACACCCAAGCACAAGCACCAAACAATATGAAATTCAAGGTCTGATTTTAAAAGGAGAAAAACAGTTGCTGATAATAAACAAGACAAAAATAGTGCATAAAGGTCTCTCATATATCCCTTAGTTCAGGTTCTCTGATGTCTTGTCAAATTCAGAAAAAGGCAGAGGAGCATAGCAGCCTGCATTTTGTGATATGAATTTCCCAAGGTTTTCTCATCTAACATAATACTTGATGGAATCATCCAGAGCATCAACGGATTACAGAATCATGAAAGCGAGATAAGACAGATAATGATGCTACTTCAAAGAAAGTCAAAGAAACATTATATCACTGAAAATGAAAAATGAGACTACATATCCTGTTCAAGTTTTAATGCCAAGGGAAGACACTTACAAAGTCAGAGAACTTCGTAATCATAAAAGGGTTAAAGTTTACAGGAGCTTCTTCCAGAAAACGTTCCACATAATGGAGCAAAAAGAGACCACAGTCGTATAAATTATCCTGCTGAGGCAGCTGAAATAGAAAAGAAAGACCAAACCAGTCTAGTAAAAGTTGCGCTGGATTACTTATAGGGAAGTTAATAATAGACTACCTCAAGTGAGATGAATCTCATATGAAGAAATTTGGAAGAAACATCATCCACCACATTACCGTGCCTCTCTTTCCATTCTTCACAGAGGTAACTACCATTAAAAAATATATAAAAGAAAGGACTGTCAGATTCTGCACAATGACAGAAAACAGATTAATTCTACTTATTCAAGCTTGTAATTCATTGAATAGAGTTTCGTTTCTACTAAATTGTCAAAACAACTTTCTGTAGTAGCTATCTAAATTTCCGTGAGGAAATATATCTGTCAACAAAGCCTAGTTAAACCATTTAAGCACAAGGTTCAACCTCAAACAAAATATCAATACAAGTTTTAAGCTGTTTGCCACTTACAATAAAGCTTCACTCGCTAACAGTTAAATGACTTAGGTAGTTGTTTCATATGGACTCTAATGTCACATGAAGTTGAAAAAACAGTAACAGGATTGCCTGTTATTTTGCTGATAGTGTTGTGCTTGGCAGAAGCTTGGTGATTAGAGATTGACTATGGTGGGCAAAGTCACCATTCATTGCTACCTGTTTGGTAGGGTAGGGTTAAAATGTGAGATTTCAGTGACAAGTGGTGTACATTCTAGTGATTGATGATAGTAACCAAAGTAACCATTCATTGTTAACTGTTGGCAAGAAGTGGCGTCAACAAGTCAACTGCTAGTAAAATAAAAAGGTGACTACTTTCGAATGATTAATATAGTAGCTCAAGTAACTGTTGGAAAACTACTGTCATGTAAAGATAATAAACTCCTGCTGTCGGTATATTTTTCCCCTGGAGATCTTTCACAAATTTTTATTGTCACTTGATGTAATTTATTTTATACATACCAAGTATACATCCTATTTTTGCTTGTAATGTATCAAGGGCTTGCTTGATAAACATGATATGATAGGGTAAAAGAATATAATATGATAAGAACATGACGGAATAATAATAGGATAATTTCCGTATATAGAAGATAAAAAACTAAATAGTATCAGGATATAACATAAATTATGTTTTAATTATACAAATTCATATAAGATTTTAAGATGCAATAGTATCTTAAAAATTGTTATATTCTTATTATTTAATTTAATATTTTAATACATAATATAATTAAAATTTTTGTCACTATTATAAATATAAATTCATATAAAAGATCTGTTAAATAAAAAATTATAATATATATTATAATATAAATTAATATCAATAACATTATACATATTTTATTTTGCTCATTAATTTTTCTTAAAATTATATAGTTTTTATAAAATTAATATTATGATGCAAATATTTTTCTTTAAAAACGTATTTGAATAATTAAGAATTTTTTGTATAGTTTAATTACCATTATAATTCAAATTTATGAGTGAATATTATAGATAGGAGAGTCGGGGGGAGGGAGATAGCTTATCCTATCCTATTAAACCAAACTGAACTCCCCCTTTGGGCTAAGTATACTCCCCTCTAGGACAAGCAATGAACTATAGTGATAAGGTACAATAAGTGAAGAGGTAACAAACATTAGATTACAGTAGAATAAGATATTTATCATATCATCATGTTCATCAAACGGACCCTAAAAGAAATAAAAAGAAAGGCTCCCACAAGTTGATACCAACGTATGAGTCACACTGAATCTATTCTACATCAGTCTGGTGTAAGGAAGAAAAACAGAATCTATAGCACACCAGTTATATAAGTGGGGGCAATTCCATTAATCTATACCATGCTACTTTCTTTTAGGTCAAATTACAAAATAAGTATTCAGGCAACTTCATAACCTTCCAGTCACCAAAACAAAATATTAATTTTTGTATGGAATGAAATTTTGAGAAGAGGGTAATATTTATTGGACCTCCAAATTGACATTGAGTAGAAAATAGGTTATATCCTATCTCAGCCAGCTATCAGGAACCTACCTTTGAAAAATATTCTTCAGACCTTTATGGGTTCCTTGTAGGGAATCCATGTGCAAGATGCAAGGTATTTTGGAAGATTCGTTCATTTCTTCATCTACAATACAATCAAATAAATACAATAGTAAAATTGTGCGAATAACAATAGAAGAATAACTGAAAGGGAAGATCTTGCCTTGGTAGCATGTCACTTCACCAGGATGACAAATGGCAATCAAACTCCAGTGAAGACTGGCATCAAGAAACATTAATGATTCTCAAGATGTAAAAATTTGTATCAGCAAGCAAGATGTTGTCTTGGACTCTTACCTATAGTTTATGGGAATCAAGATATAATCCTTTTCAAAAAGGTTCACTTTCCTTG